TTCAGGCTTCCACCGCGAGTTCCTCGGCTATGTATCTGTACAGTGTACCGTGCCGCAGAACGCCGGGGCTTTTTTGCGGATGTAAGTAAGTAGTGTTTCCGGAGCACTCGGCGTGTTTCTACCAGACTCGACGAGTTTGAAAGCTCAGGGACCGTAAAGACGGAGAAATTTTAGAAGCCCCTTCGTGCATGGACAGGGACTTTCCAGCATAATATGCACAGCGAAGAGGAAGGCAACATTGTGGCCGATTGCAAGATTCGGCCGGTGTGGCGGCTCGAGCTGCGGCTTCGAACATTCTTACCAAAATAGGCAGGCCAACTTAGCGCACTCTGGTGCACTTGACTCGGGCATAGACTTACATATCGCGCGCTCACTAGTACTGCTTCTGCAAATTCACCTTGCCCATTGGCAATATTTCATTATACTCACGGCAGTTCTAGCCGGAATTTCCGAGTTCATGCGGGGGTGGCATCTCCGCAGGTCTCGTCCACCCATGATCCTCCGAGTGCACCGGCAGCGCCCAGCGTATCCATACCACCATGACCCTGACATCCGAAATCAGAACCGTGCGGCTAATAAGCGCAAACCTTCGGCTCCCCTACACCGCTACAGAGACCAGAATTGCTGCCTGTGCTGGAATGCAGAATTGAAGGAGGCTAGGAGTAACAGTGTGAGCACTTTACTGCACCCACTGTCGCTCCTGTCCCCTTCAGTTCTCAGTGCAAGGAATACAACATTGAATTGCTTGCACACACAGAGCCGTGCACATATTTTCTATTCATACGGTGAAGCACAGGCCCTGTTTCATGTGCATCAGGACGGAAGGAGAATTGGCGAGGGCACACACAATATACCAGTCCTGAGCTTTGACCATGTCCGATCACACCGCACGCACTGTGCAACTACTATTGGCTGAGTGGACGGATGGAGCCAGACATATGGCACGCAGGCGATACGAAGCAAGATCACGGAGCAGTCGCTTACTGCCGTGGCAGCGGCGTCCGCACTGCTTACTGACATGTTCTCACCAATAGCACATCAGAGCGGGTTACCATCCACTTAGCCGTCCACACGGCGCCGCCGTGGGCCTTGCGCTCGCACGCATAGGTTGCCGACAGTGCGCCGCCAGGGACCGCTGTACCACCGTCTAGACTCGAGCTTCTCGAGCAGGCAATGCATTGGGCTTACCACCTGATCTTGTGCTCCTGATGCCTGCCTCGCGATACATACCTACTCCGGAACCACCTTCGAGTCGACCTGAACCTGTACCTCTGTGTCCTGCCCCCAATCACCTGTCAGCTTGATCTCGACCTGCATGCAGCACCGGCAGTTTCTAGACAACACACCTCGTAGTGCAACGGCCCATTTTCAAGCTGCCCTCAGTGATCTTTAGGGCGACCGTGACGGAGTTGTAGCTGGGATACAGTCAGGTGAGTATCTTGGCTCAAGCGAGCACTGAGAGCGGCTCTGTATGCTCCGGCCACTCGCCATGGGATATGTGCTAACTTCCGCAGAAGCACACGGCCATGCTGTGTGCACACACCCATCCACTGCCGTGCATGCTGACGCTAAGTAGTCTGACCCCGCATCTCCCATGCTCACTCTCCCGAACCGTCAGTTCACAACACAGATCTCGGAGCTCCCGAAACACTCACGGATATCACGAGCTCGACCTTGCAGTACGACTTTCCACTTGCCCAACCTGCGAGAAAGCGTCTGCGGGTGGCGGGTGTACACGGGAGGTCTGGGGTGCAAAGCGAATGTGAACGGCGGAGCGGAGCCCAACCCACCTAGCGTGCAAAGGTGAGCCACTTGCTGACATGCACGGCTTCCCACTCATCAGGCGGCGGCATTTCGAAGGAGCTTATGGATGCCAGCCGCAGCGGCACGCTCAAGCATCCGGAACGCACGGACATCTGTCATATCCGTCCCTGCCCACCACACTAGTACTCGCCGTCATGCGAGCCGTGCTCCTCGTGCTCTATTGGCGGCGCTGTAGACAACTCGTGGGCCCGTGGCTCGGTTTCAGTTCCCGGCATGTTTTGGTGAGCCTATTTGTATTCTAGGAGCCATCTGCTCGCGGAGACCACGAACCGACTTAGGAGTCGATTAGTCAACCCACGACGGTTTGACCAGGTACGCTCGCGAACACATTTTAGCAGCGCAGGGGGCAGGCCGCGCGGAGGGGTCAACAACGCAGTCCGGCATGATGCCAGTGCGCATTTTGATCAGCGCGGACACGCTCCCACATCACCAGCGAGAACGTGCGCACCGAGTTCGATGCAAGCTATCGGACGAGAACATCGAGCCCACCTCCCGCGCGCCCGATGACGAGGCCCGATGGAGATGGACAGACTACAAGCAGCCAGAGTACGTACCGTTTCTAGTATGTCGCATGCGTCCCGGCGGGTTCCGGCTAACTTGTCCGCTATTGCAGACCGCGAATATGGCGTCGAGGCGTGTTTCTGGATGCCCGACCAGCGTACCAACGTCGGACGCGGGCGGGCGAGGCTGAGCGGTTGTGGTAGAGAGCAGAGACGCGGTGCGCGCGACGCGACTTTGCCGATTCGAGCACCGTCGGTTTAGGCGCCCTTGGACGTCGACGACGCGAAGTCGATTTCTCGCTCTTCGTATTTGTTTCTGCGCGCGCGTTTTATGTAGCCACGTCCGTATCCAATATAAACCGTTTTACGACGCAGAATCCCAGCGCGAGCAGCACAGAATGCGAGTCCTCCAAACTTGGAGACCTTCCCCCGCGCGTCAAACTGACCCCCACCATCCAAGCGCCAAACTGACCCCCACCATCGACGCAGAGTCCGCGAATCCATCTGGGAGATCCAACGGTGCCCCCGAGATGCTCGTCCAAGCGAGATCCACGTCCCACCCACGTCCGCGCCGCAAACTACCCGCAGACCCCAACCGCTCCGCCGGCTCGCCGACCCCGCACCGCCACCACCCACACATCTCGCAGCCCGTCCGGTTCGCGCGTAACGAAATATATTTCTTCGCACACTTACCGTACACATCACGCCCTCCGTCACCGTGCGCGCGAATGTCCATACCGAGTAACATAGAACCCAACGCCGCTGCTATCCCTCCGCTTCAGCCCGTCCTCCTTCGGCGGTCTTGTGAGCTTCGGATACGTCTCCTCTCGAGCGCCAGGCCCGAAATCCATCACAAACGGCCGCGACTGCGTCGCCCCAAACAGCCGCGAGCTCTCCAAGATGACCGAATACACCGGGGACGAATCGTTGCCCGGCGCGTGCACGCTCCAGCCCTTGTTCGCCGCGCGTACGTCCCAAAAGGCCACCACGCTATGCCGCGCGGTACCGGCTGCGATATGGCAGCCTCCGCCCCCGCCGGAGGACACGTCGTACACCGGCTCGAAAAGCCACGGGTCGCACATGCTCATCACCGGGTAGAGCGCCCCGCCCGCGGGGTAAGAGCTCACCCCGGGGATGCGGTGGGCGCGTCGTGACGAGCGCAGGTCGTGCACGTTCACGACGCCGTCGTACCAGCCAGAGATGATCACCTGCTCGGAGCCGCCCCAGGGTGCGTCCGGAGGCGTTCCGCATATGCCGTAGACAGCGGAGGCGCGCGGGTGGTCGTCGTGCGTGGAGTTGGTGAGGATATGCGATGGGGTGTCGGATATATGTGACTCGTGGATGGTGTGGACCAGGAGCGGTGTAAGAGAGGACGCGCCGAGGACGGCATGTCGATGCGAGAGGTGCGTGGCCCAGCTACGGACTCTCAAATCTAGGAACTGAGGCAACGGGTTGGCGGAGTTGGTGAAGAATACGGCGCTTCCGTTCGCCGACAGCGACAGCAGCTGGTCCCCGCACGCCGAAATGCTTTCTATGGAGTCGTTTCCGTGGTACGGCCTCTTCTCCCGGAAGCTCGGCTCTATGTGGACCGGGCCTTCGTGTCCAGGCTTGCACGCGGGCAGAACAACACGCTCGAGCGAGCCATCCGCGTATCCGACGTATACAGTGCGGTCGTACCCCCCGTCGGGGACGCACCGTATACTCGTGATGTCGCGGGAGGCTTGCAGGACCTTGTTACTCGTGTACGCGCACTCGAACTGGATGCTGGGACTCGTTCCCGGGGCCGCCGAGCGCCCAAAGGTGTAGGAGTAGATGTGGTTGGCGGCGGCCACGAACAGGCGGGAGCTGTTGACCGATAGTATGGGTTGGAGCTTCCCGGACCACTTAGATGCCAGGGGGCGAGCCACGAAGCCGGGAAGCGACCAGTTGTGGTCCGTTATCGTGTTGAAGCTGTGTCAAATGCATGATGCAACGTTAGACGTGTCTCTTCGAGTGAGACGGAGAACAGTCGCGGAGTGTTCGCGCGGAGCAGTAATATCTTTCCGGTATGACGCGCTTACTGGCCCGCCGCTTCATGCCATTGACCGCTTTGCCTGTCTCCATAATACGAGCGCGCTAGGCAACCCTACATATGTTGTAGAGACGGACTGGCACGGTGAAGGCAGGGAAAATGGTCACCAACCTGTCGGGTGGCTATGGTTTGAAAGCGCGTTGCACGAGCCGCTCTTGTGCTCCTCGATAGGGCGCGAGCAGCGGGTGCGTGCGGCGATAGGTGAACTGAAGAATGACCGCATTCCTTGGACGCGTGATAATACGGTTCTGTCGTTCTGCGAAGCATGCGCCGCTGGCATGTTCCGCAGAACAACTCGTTCGAGAGACAAGATTCTATCCGGATAACCTGTCATGTAGGGCGAACTCACCGGACTTGGTCGTAGGCACTCCAATGGAGCAATGACTTGGATAGGCTCCAAGTATGGCGGGGATTCGCCTTACTATATGCTGTCCAGCCATATTCGCCAACCTACAGAGAACCGTTAGTCTGGGAAGGTTCGGAGGTAATTGTGGGACACACCAATGCATGAAAATATCGTGAGGTCTGGGCGAGATGGGCGAGGTCCTCCACGGACAGATGGTACAGGACAACGATCCAGATGTCGCTAGGAAGGGTGTCGGCAAGCATGGTCGGGGCCCGTCGGGAACGATGGTGCGGCTTTGGATCCAGCCTCAATGGTTCGACCCTCGCTTCCTCGCCTGTATGTGTTCCAGCTCGGGGTCCAGCTGCGTCCTGTCCGTGGAGAAGGTGTGCTCCGTATCTTCCCCTGCGTCTTCTGGATAGCCCCGCTTGCGAGGGGCCACAGCAGCGTGGTGGTTTATATGCGGGTGTTTACGTTAAGGGCGCTGAGATGATGGATCTGTGTTGTGGACCCGGGGTGTTTGGGAGTGAAAGGGAAGTTCTCAGATCTCCGTGCAGTTGCCGTACACACTACCGCCGCGGGCGTCTATTGTGGCCGCAACAGCGCGCATCCTCGGCAGTCCAGTGCTCTCTCTACTACCTCTCACATCCTACACAACTCCCTAATATTCCCCTGCGTTCGCCGCGTCGACCATGCGCAGAGATGTCCGCATCCTTCTCGTGGGCGACGGTGAGTCTCGCTTTGTTAACGCGCTATACGGATCGCTCATTCACTTGAAACCCCGCAGAGGGCGTCGGGAAGAGCACTATAGTCACCTCCCTCATCAAGGAATCTTTCGTTCCCCGCGTAAGACAGTGTCATGTACGCGCTCGACAATCGCTCACCAGGACGCTCGTGGAATAGGTCCAGCACGTCGTTCCAGAAGTTACCATCCCACCAGAAGTCACGCCGGAGAATGTGACCACATACATCGTGGACTCTGGCAGTACGTCCGTCAACCGCGTTCTGGCTTGAATCCTGGGCAAGTCTGAAGGGAGGCCGCGTAACAGGCGGGCCTAATGACCAACATCATCTTGAATCCGAAATCCGCAAGGCGCATGTCATCTGCGTCGTATATGCCATCGACAACCCGAACTCATTCGACCGAATACCCACGTATTGGTTACCTTATTTCCGGCAGCTTGGTGTTAATGTGAGTAGTCAAGTCTACCTCATGTCGAAACGCCACCCACGGGGCTGCGGACCATTATCGCACGAGGAAATGACATACCCCATGCCATAAACATTGTCGCAGCACGTGTGCTGAACATTGAACTAGGTTCCCGTAATATTGGTTGGCAACAAGATTGATCTTCGAGGTGGGGAGGTTACGAATGAGGCCCTAGAAGACGAGATTATACCCATCATGAACGAGTTCAAGGTATGCCCCCTCCCTTGCACTCTGGCTCAGGCTGTTAGTCAACATGCTAGCTAGGAAGTCGAGACCTGCGTAGAATGTTCCGCGAAGCTCCCCTTGAACGTGTCGGAAGTGTTCTACTTTGCTCAGAAGGCCGTCCTCCATCCCACCGCCCCTTTGTACGACTCAAGAGAACATGTAAGTCGCAACACTCGTGAAGAAGCCGTGCTCAAACCTAAAGGAATCGACACAGGTCCTGAAGAAGGAATGCGTGGCGGCGCTACGACGAATATTCAAGCTTTGCGACATGAACAAGGACGGTCTCTTGGACGCTGCCGAACTCAACGAGTTCCAGGTACGTCCACATTAGACGAGGGAACGACGACATTGCTCAGTTAAGGGTTTTAGCGGAAATGTTTCGACGCCCCGCTGCAGGCTCAAGAGCTTGAAGGTATCAAGGAGATGGTCCGACAACATGCTGAAGGCGGGGTCCGCGACAACGGGCTGACCGAGGCGGGCTTCTTGTACCTGCACACGATCTTCATCCAGCGCGGCCGATTGGAGACAACGTGGACAGTGCTCCGGAAGTTCGGTTATGGTGAAGATCTCCGGCTCACGGAGAGCTTTCTGTATCCTAAGTACGCCTGTTGCAGGATCACACTCTACTTGATTCTGACTATATGCTAGGTTCGAGGTGCCGTATGATTGCTCTGTGGAGCTGAGCCCGCTCGGGTACCAGTTCCTCACGGTCCTGTTCGAGAACCACGACAAGGTAGGCGGGCCGCGCAAGATGCATGACGCGTGCTCACAATGTGCAGGATCAAGATGGCGCCCTCAACAAGGAGGAGCTAGAAGAGCTCTTCAGCACCTCTCCGGGGAACCCATGGGCTGGCCAGAAGTTCCCTGACACGACTGTCTCCGACGACACTGGGGCAGTCACATTACAGGGATGGCTTGCACAATGGAGTATGACGACCCTCCTCGAACACCGCACGACCCTGGCTTACTTGGCCTACCTCGGGTACCCGGACGAGCCACGCACTACTGCACTGCATGTTACTCGGCCGCGGAAAGCAGATCGTCGGAAGGGCAAGTCAGCGCGTAATGTCTTCTTGTGCTATGTGTGCGGAGCGGCTGGCTCGGGCAAGACTTCTCTGTTGCGGGCATTCGCCGGCAAGCCGTTCAGCCCGGTCTACGAGCCAACGAAGAAGATGAACAGCGTTGTCAATTCGGTGGACATCGACGGCTCGGAGAAATACCTCGTGGTACGTGCTCTGCGGCGCCGTGCAGTGCTTGGCAGATCTGCGGCAGGTGTTGACTGCGGACGTACAGCTCCAGGAGTTCGGCTCCAAGTACGAGGCAGAAACGCTTCGGAGCCCAAAGAAGACGGACCTCGCGGACGTGATCGTGTATGTGTACGACTCGAGCGACACCAACTCGTTCTCGTATATCAGCAATCTCCGGGTACGTACTCTAAGTTTATGCTTCGACATCAGCAAAACACAGAAGTTGCCCAGGAGCTTCCAGGAGATTTCATAGGCTTTACACCATTTCTGTGTTTTGCTGATGAACTCAACGCTCCGAGTCTAACATCGTTGTCGACAGCAACAATACAGCCTGGACCACATACCAACGCTGTTCGTGGCAACGAAGTCTGACCTCGACCTCGCGCTCCAGGTACGTGCACCGGCTATAGTGCCTCATTGTAATGCTCATGCAACGTGCAGAGACACGAGGTGCAGCCTGACGTTTACTGTCGGCGTCTATCGCTCCAAGCACCAATCGCGGTGAGCGTGCGGACAGGGCAGACGGCGGACGTGTTCCATGCCGTGTGCAGAGTTGCCATGAACCCGTGCGTTGCGATCACAGCGTGCCCGCTTGCCACAGGAAACATCGATAAATATCACGTCCCCTGGCTAAGTGCAAGAATTTGTAGCAAATTCATGGCTGTCAAGATTCACCTTGTGTCGGACAAAGGAATTGTGACAGTTATTATATGCTTCATGATCTTGCACTCACTCAGGTGCCATGATATCTTGTGGTGTTTGTCATGGTATACGATGTCCATTGGCTTACCATTATGGACAGAAACTCCGCAATACCGGGAGGCGCGGATCGGGCGCTGTCTGCAGCAGCACGCCTGAGGACGTACATCAAGATTGCGTCCACAGTGGGCGGGCTCTCGGCTGGGCTGTACCTCGTTTATCGGACATTTGCACGGCCAGGGGGCGCGCAGGGCGGATGGAGTGTGGGTTCGTGGCTCGCGTGGCTGATCGGCGGCGGAGGTGGGGGTCGACGCGAGCTCTGACGTGATGCTCTTCGCGTTCTTCGTGTATTTTGGACGATCAGCACATTGCTTGGGTAGTATCACTGGGCCCCAGCGATGGGTAGCTTCTGAGTTGCAGATGGTGTAGGTGTGCCGGGAGTTAGTGCGAGAAGGTCCTACTCAAGGGAGATTAGATGGCGATCAGACCGAGGAGGTGCGTTCGCGGGCGAATCGGCTAGATCCGATAATCTGACGCACGGCGAGGGCGTGGCGTCAGAGCGCAACATAAGTGACATAGCCCCAATAATACGAGTCCCGCCCACAATAGCCCGCTCGCCTGTTCTGCTCTCTCCCCAACCACCACCTCCTGCACACCGCACACTATCTGTTTGCGATTATCACGACGAACACGCGCTGCACAATACCCCAACCACATACAAGATCCGACTTGCTTGGTAGCGACACTCAACATGGACACAGACATGGACTTCGATGCAGGCACCTCTAGCCTGCAACCTGCATTCGAGCCGCAACCTCAGGCACCTCCTCAAGTGCTGGATGAGGGCCGAAAGATGCTGTACGTGTGTAAATATGTGGAGGTTGGAGGCTATTCGCAGCGTGTTTGCTCCGTCCGGCATAGGATGTCTATTTGCGTGGCGAACGTAGTGTCCCTGGACCCATCTGTAAGCAGGACGTTACGGGGACTGGGTTCGGTGTATCTGCCAATGACCCAGCTTCGAACTTCGAAGGCTCATCATAAAACGCGTTGCGAACGAACTTTCCACTCCACTTCTTCGCGATGTCGCATCGCCGCATCAGCAGCATACTAACCACGCCCCAGTGATCTTGTTTTCGTGCAGGACTGCACAGGATCCCAGGGAAGCTACATCTCCTCCGCAACCAAGAACATCGAGGAGATTTGTAGTCACATCTACGAGTCTGGGAAGCTCCAAACGCGCGAGGACCTCCGCATCGGCCTCATCGCGTACCGCGACCATCCGCCACAGGACCACACATACGTTACGAAGAACTTTGGATTCTCGTCGGACGTCTCTAAGGTGCACAAGGATCTGTCAGGCCTGTACGCATCAGGGGGCGGAGATGGACCCGAGGCCGTCACCGCGGCACTGGCGGATGCGCTTCGGATGGAATGGCGGCCTGCCGCGAGCAAGATGGTCGTGCTCATCGCGGACGCACCACCACACGGCATTGGAGAGTACGGCGATGGTGAGTCTAGTCGTCGCTTCTGCGGCCATGCGGCTTGGTTTATAATCGATCTGCCAGGGTTCGACGAAGGTTCGCCGGATGGGAACGACCCGCTGCAGATTGCCCGGACCATGGCGCAGCAGGGAATCACTCTCGTAAGTCCTCCGGAGCCGTTTAACGTCCACATCGCTGATTGGCAGCAGTTCTTCGTTGCGTGCGAGCCCGCGCTCAGCGGCTACTCTGTGAGTCCTCATGCCGTTACGCCGTGCAGGCATCATCTGACGCGTGCCCGCAGTATGCAACCGATTTCTACCAGGCTCTGACGAACATCACGTCGGGCCTCATGCTCCCGCTGACGACTGCAGATCTGTTGACGCATGCTATCGTCGGGAGCGTGCTCGAGAACCTCGACATGGAGCGCCTCGTGCGTGAGGTTGGCCAAGCCGTGTCCCAACGGATATTGGGCAACCATGAGAGCGTGGATGATGTCGCGCGAGAACTCCATGAGCGGCTGCTGCTCCGCAATGAGAGCACGAAGAAAGTCGTCATCGAGAGTATCTACCGTGAATCCGAAGAGGCGAAGCACAACGTGAGCATCTACATGAATGCCCCAACCCTCGCGGAGGCAAGGCCACACCTAAAGAGGGTATGCGATATTATGTCTTATCCATATGTTCCATATTGATGATGTCCCTATTCAGGTCCCTGGAACACGGTTCACCGACAAGTACCTGCACGCACGGATGTCTTCGTCGCGGAGTTCGTACTACGGCTCGCCATATCTGCCCGCGCGACCCGCCGCCGAGAAGACGTCTCCGGTGAAGCCTGTTGCGCCCGCTTCGCCGCCAAGGAAGGTTGTGTCGGATTTCAAGGCGTTCGGTGCGTCGCCGACAGCGAGCGTGTTCGGCACCGCGGTGCAGTCCACGCCGTTCTCGTTAGCCGGCGGCAAGGCAGCGTTCGGTGCACTCCGCGGGAACGGGCGGACGACGGCGTTCGACGATGACGAAGACGAAGACGACAGTGACGGCCGGCAACGCGTGGAGCTCCGGGAAGACTCCATCACGCTCGACCAGGTGCGTACACCCGGCCTGTGTCTTCGTATATCGCGGTGGTTGACTGTACGATTTGTCTGTAGGCGCGGCGGATCGCCATGCAGAGTGCGTGGAGAAGTACCCGCGTATGAGCCTGGCCTGCGCGCTGTGGCCTGCGCGCTCCTGTTTGCAGGCCTGGGGGCGCCCCGTCGCTTGCCGTCGCATCTGTACATTGTGTATATCCACCCAGCATCGTGCGTAGTCATTCCCCGCTGTCTCCTTTTACCCGCGGTTGTCCCGGCAGTCGATCCTCTGGGTCACAGCCCGCGTGCGCCGCTTTCGAGTCTCGCTGATCATGCTGTGTTTCTCTTCTCAGTGGCCTGGGACCGCCCGGGGGCCCGTCTTGTATCTCATCGTTTTCCCGCTTGCGTTGAACCGCTCTTGCAAATGACCTTGTTTCCTTATGTGTATGATCCGGCCGCGATTGCAGTAGTTGTGCGAGGTGCTAGTCAATACCATCACCCTACTCCGTCGATGTACAAGTAGAGCCAGTCTCAGGAATAATATGTGTCGATGTGCACGGAGTATACATGTGTGAGGAGATGACTAGAAGTATGATAGGACGAATGCAGACAGAGAGTGGTGAGAAATCCGTCATGACTTCGCCGTCTTCTTCGTCTTCTTGTCTGAAGACGAAGCGTCGGTGGCTGAAGCCTTCTCCTTGGCCTTCTTCGTTTTCCTCTGCTTCGTGGGCGCCGTCTCCCGGGTATCCGCTGCATCCTCGACCGCCATGGGTATCGCTTCAGCCACGCCCGCCTCTGCGGTATCTCGACTTGGCGCGTCCGCAGACTCCTGAGAGGAGGCTTTGCGCGCTGCCTTCTTCTTGCGCCGCTCTTCCTTATGCGCGCGCTTCTCCGCCCTTTGCTGCCTCCGCGCCGCCTTCGCCGCCTTGCGCGCTGCCTTGGCCTCCTTATCCTCGGTCTCATCTGAAGCCTCAGCTGCCCTTTCCTTGCCCTTGGACGTCTTCCGCGCCTCGTCCTTCGCGTTTGCTTTCGCCTCTCGTTTCCGACGCTTTCTCTCTTGCTTCTCCTCGCTCTCGTCTGCTTTCCGCTTCTTGCTAATTTTCCGCTGCTTCTCCTCCGTTGACGACGAAGCGGACGAAGAGAGCGTAGAAGGCCCCGCTTGGCTTTGCGAATTCACCGGTGATGGCGCCTCGTCCTTTTCTTCGTCCGCCGCAAGCACCGGGCCGCGGTAAAAGGCTGCGTAAAGCATGCGTCGCGCGGCCTGTTGCTTGGCCACCGCCATAAGGCTCAGTTGGGGGGCTGCGCTCGTGCTGCTCGAGCTAGAGGAGGGGGTCGTAGCTCCAGAGAGGGCAGGTGTGCCGGAGAGTGGGCGGCGGTTGGAGATGATGCCCGTGGTGGTGCGCTTGAGCTCTAGCGCAGGTGTTGAGCTACCCTCATCGTCCTATCCGGGGTGTAAGACTGGTTTCATGGGGGCAAGAGTTTGGAAGGGGGCTCACCGATCCGCTATTTGATTCATCGTCCGAGTCGTGCAGCTTGAACTGTATACTCGCCGCAGCCGCTTGGAAGACACTGTTCACAGCTCATAGTTAGATACCCTAGCTCGCACAGGTAGATCGAGTGCACTGACTGGTCCCAGAAGGGGAATGCCTCATCGCGGTCCTTGCCAATTCCTGCGAGCGTTTTCTTCTGTATGACGGTGATCGGCTTCGCTATCGCGCCGTTGCGGAGGCCTGTGCCCTTGCCTGACCAGCCTTGCTTAACCAGATGTCCGTGGCCGTCGATAGGCATGTCGAGCGAGCAGCAAGCAGAGCAGCAGGACCTGAGTGGAACCCTGCAGACGGTGAGTGGCCGAGATGGACGCCGAAAGAAAAGGGTACAGGCACACGTGACCTGCTACACGCGCCGAAACGGTGGCTGGGCGCTTCCGCCAAACGCGTCTCTCAACCACTCCGCTCCGTCTCCCCCCACTCCTTCTTAAGATATCCGGCCTCAAGAGCCTCCCGCCCACACGAAATGTCCGGTTCACGTATGCGTAAGTATAGCGCGGAGGAGAAGGAGCAACTGCTTGCCAATCTCGATTTGGAAGGTCCGTACGCTACCGCACGCGTCAACGTCTTAAACTCAAACATGCCTCAAAGTGGCGCACAAGACTCGCCAGTTCGAGGACTGGCTCTCCGACGCGCTCGAGAACTTCCGGAGACACCAGGAGGGTCTCATTCTGCGTATACCGCGCATCGTGCGCAATGTCACTCTCCGGGACTTCGCGAAGTACAACGGAGACATCCAAGAGTGCGTCAAGGGCCTGAAGCGGGATATGTTGGGCGCGGAGGACAACACCATCGATGCGGGTACGCGGAAGCGCAAATGGATAGAGTCGCAGGAGACGGAGGACAAACTCGACGGGAAACTCGGCCACACTGAGTCCTCAAGAGCGATCAAGACTGGTACAATGCTTGCGTTTAGCAGTGATGGCATCGCTGACCGCTTATGTAGCTCGTACGGTGGCCGCTACGCCAAAGAAGAAACCTTCGTCGTTTGCTGCGCCCACTACCGCATCGAAGACGCGCCTGCCTGTTACCAAGACCCCAGCGAAGGTATGCACGCCTACCTCCTCTATCAAAACGCATATTCATGTGCGCAGACCCAAGGCCGCCCTCTTGGCCGCATACCCTCGGGCGCCGTTTCCCCGAGTCCACAGAAAGGCACCAACAAATCACTTCAGTTTCCCCGCACGCCCTCGAGATTCGCCTCCCCCAGCAAACCATCTCAAACCGTCCGCCCCGCGTCCCGCGTCCCCTCCTCGTCCACATTTAACCCTACACTCGCATCCGAAGCGTCACATCCACGCTGGCCGCGCAAGAACGAGAACATGCTCAGTGCGAACGGCTCGCCATTGGCCAACCCGTACCAGCTCGACCTCAAGAACTGGTTCAACTTAGCCGTAACGGATGGCGACGGGGCCGACACGGAGAATGACAGTCTACCAGGAGATACTGACGGGTCTCGTGGGCTCAGCAAACTCGGGGTCCCCGGCGGCAACAAGCTGAAGAAACAACGCAGCATTGTGGTGCGCTCCGCGTCCAACACCTCAGTCGCCTCGCACGGCGGCCACTCGCGCTCTACCTCCCAGGCCAGCACGCTCGTGGCCTCGCAAAGCAGCCTTGATACGAGGATTAGCGGTGCTTCGAACTCCTCGCAGCTCCCCCTCGCAAGTGCCCCTTCCGTCTCAGCCCTTCTATCAGTACAGACGAAGGACGGACACGTGCTGGAGTTCAACCCGCTGCAGACGACGCCAGACGAACTCGATGCGCTGGAGGGCATCACGGACAGCGCGAAGAAACAGGCGAAGGAGGACATGGCGCGGCTGATACAGGTTACGATGCAGCGCTGGAAGCTCAGCTAGGCCCACATTCTCGTTATCTTCTTCACGCAACTATAGCATAGCTTTCGGACTGATTGCATGGTCACATAGGTCTCACTCGTGTATTTACTGCACTCAGTAACATGGCGGGATCCAAGTTGTACAGTACGTGTTAAGGGGATGGCAGATTCGCCGGTCCGCGCTCCGTGGATGCATTGGAGCTCTATGGGTTCCTTCACGCTGCTGACCATTGGGGCTTCTGAGCAAGATAGCCCTCCCAAGATCTACCACAACCACCGACGCCGGGAAGAGAACGTGCTAAGTACACGACTATAAGCAACGAATCATACACAAACAAAATAATGGTAGCGGTTGTACTGGAGGTATGTTTTTTACTCATCGCTCTCCATCCGCAGTACTTATCAAGGCGATACGTAACCCAGGGCTTGAGCCTATTGGCACCTTGTCTACGCCATATCACTCGTGTGAATGCCCTCCCCTTATACCGACCCTGCCTTCTCCCAGCCATGCGCTGCATCTTGCGTAGTATGGCTACTGTGACGGGGTGCATGGAGCGATGTCACCCTAACGCGAGATCGAATCTGCAGCATTGACATGGAACCTACAGTTCATTCGCTATTCAATCAGTGAAATCTGGCGTGGTCCTCTCTCACGACTTGTGCAGGTGACACCGAATGACCAACAATGCGGACCGCCAACACGCGCCCCAAATCGTGCCCGCTATCATTCTACAGGTAGCTAAAGCTACTAAGTAATGCAGAAAGTACACATTATATAAAGGTGCACCAGTGACCCACCGTGGCCCGGTATCGCCTTCATCATGGACACCGCTAGCGCGTTCGTCCCGGCATATACCACCCTCCTCCCTGTGATCGTTTGTGCCGTCTCATTGGTTTACCTGCGGTCGCTCCTTGACTGGGGAGCACGCTCGCGGGGCCTCCCTCTACCACCGGGTCCGACGCCTTTACCTATCGTCGGCAATGTACTGGGTTTACCGAAGAACAGGCCTTGGTTGGGATTTCGTGATATGACCAAGGATTACGGTCATTGCTCCTTCTCCCATCTATGCGAACGCGCATTCTGACTATCTTGCAGGTGATCTCATGTATTTTCGGGTATTCGGTCAGGGGCTGCTGGTGATTGGGAATGCAGAGCTTGCCCACGAGTTTCTCGACAAACGTTCGGCCATTTCCTCGGACCGACCTTCAAACTTGGTGATAAAACTGTGAGTCGACACCAGGCGGGGCATGACGACCGTTGAGTGTGCTCGACTGATTTGCGTACGCTCAGCTCGGGTCAAGATTTGAACTTCGGTCTCTTCCCGTACAGCCCGCTTTGGAGGCAACACCGGCGCGAGTTCTGGCAGTTTTTCAATCCAGGGGTGATTTCCAGGTACCAGCCGATGCAGCTCACGGAGGGGCACAAGTTCCTCGGCAAAGTTCTGAAGTCGCCAGAGCGGTTGAAGGACCACATACACCAGTAAGATATCCAAGCCGGTGGTTCAGGCTCCATTTGACGCGCGATGTCAGCTTGTTCACAGGAACCATCATCAAGGTCGTTTACGGCATCGATATCGTAGACGAGAATGACCCGCGTATCGTTATGCCGCACAACGCCTTGGACGCCATACGGAGGGCTACCCCCGGCCGTTTCCTGGTGGAAACCTTCCCATTTTTGCGCTACGTGCCCGAGTGGTTCCCGGGAGCGGGATTTCAAAAGATTTTCGCCGAGAGCAAGACGGCGAACGATTACTTGAAGCACGCCCTGTTCGATGAGACCAAGGCGGTGCTGGTCAGTCGCATCCTTTGCTTGCAAACAAGTAGTAGATGTGGTTGCTGACATATAGGACGTTGGATTACGTAGGAGCGGGGCGAATCCCGACCTTGCGTCGTCGCCGATATGCTGACCAGAGCGAAGACGGACGACACTGAACCGGGCAACATCTCAAAGGAGAAAGAGGAGCTGCTAAAGAATGTATGCGCGACTGCCGTTGACGGTGAGCAGCGCAGTGGCTAGGGTATGTAGAATTCAAACTGATCATATTCTCTGTCGTACAGGAGGATCGGACACGGTTAGTGTGCCATCGAGGGCGTCCACCATCGGCTTGCAGTATGTAAAAACGGCGTCCAACTCACATTGTGGGGTTACAGACCTACTCGATCTTACAAGCGGTATTCGTCGCGATGTCCCTCTACCCTGTCGTGCAACGGAAAGCGCACGCGATACTGGACGCTGTCGTAGGGCCCGACCGCCTCCCCGACTTCGGCGACAGCGAGGCGCTCGCTTATATCCATGCGATAGTGAAAGAAACGTTTCGCTGGAACGTCGTTGCGCCGCTCGGCATCGCGCACAAAACTATGCAGGACGACGAGTTCGGCGGGTACTTTATCCCCGCGGGCACCACGGTGCTCCCGAACGCATGGTGCGTGCCAGAGGACTCCGCGTGTAGACAGATCACTTACTGTGCCCGTGACACGAGCAGGGCCATGCTACACGACCCCGCAGCGTACGAGGACCCGGACGAGTTCCGCCCGGAACGGTTCCTGCGCGATGGTCAGCTCGACCCGACCGTTCTCGACCCCGCGTCATTCGCGTTCGGGTTTGGCAGGAGGATCTGCGCCGGACGGTACTTCGCATTTGGGTCGCTGTTCATCACCGTTGCGTGCGCGCTGCACGTATTCGACATTGGTCCGCCGCTCGATGCGGACGGGGTGCCGATCCACATTACGTTCCAGCAGACGCACGGAGTCCTGTCGTCAGTATTCCTGTTACTGTTTACGGTTAGGTTCTGAAACAAGGTTCACTAATTGCTGTGCAGATACCCCGAAGATTCCCGCTGCACCGTCAAACCGCGATCGAAACGGGCGGAGGCGCTGATATTAGCCGCACAAGACCTGGGAGGACTGTAACCACTCATGTACCGAATTTGTTTTGGCAAAAAGGTCGAGGGGAAGCGGACGACGCTTGCGGCTTGAATATTGCTGCGGAATGAAGAGACGAGAGAAGGTGACTAAAGTGTATAGTACATGCTATTGGGGAGGACACGTTGCCAGTCCACCCTCCGTGGATGCATATGAGCCAGCCAAGTTCTGCGAACTTTCTCAGGTCGGGGGCGTTACACTCCTTTCGACGGCAGTCTCCGACGGTGGACCGGGTCCTAATCCTGATGGCGCACTTACTTGGTTATTCGTGCCCTGAGATGGGTTATTTGTGGGTTGGTTCTTCAGCAGGGCGAACTCTAAATGAAGTTCAAGGGTGGTTCACAACAAGCGGGGTCTAGGGCCTCCATTCGCGCCATGCCATCCTGTGAGCATTCTTCCTTCATAGTCAGCCTTGCTTTCCCTCAGCTATACCGCTACATCATTCTGACGTACATCATACAGTTGGTCCTACGAGGATGCGAGTGGCGCGGCATCCCTTCTGCTCCCCAGGGAATTCACAATGCCTTAAGACGACGGCCACACGGCCACACCACGTAAAGAGGCGCTATTCAAAGGTGTCTTGGCGTACTGTATGCTCACACCTGGCTCAGCTGACGACAGTGCAGAAGGTCAAGCGAACGATGCGGACCGCCATCGGCCCACCCATGGCCAACTTCCATGCTTCTGGAGTAGCCACGGCCGATAGGTGGTGCCGAAAGCACAGTACAAAATCTGGACCCTAGGGAGGCGTTCAGACTCCGGGAACAGCTCTCTACCATGGAAATCCTCAGCACGTCTATCCTAGCCTACGTCATTCTCCTCCTGGTGGCCTCCTGTGTCGCTTCGCTGAGGTACCTGCGCTCGCTCTGGGACTGGAAGGCACGCTCGCAAGGGCTTCCATTGCCGCCGGGTCCTAGACCCCTCCCCATCGTGGGCAATGTGTTTGACCTCCCGAAAGTCAGGCCTTGGCTAGGATTCCGGGACATGCGCAAGAAATACGGTCAGTACTTCTGCCCTTGTATGACGCCATGCGATCTCAAATCTCTCATGGCAGGTGATCTCATCTATCTGCGAGTCTTTGGTAAACGCCTCCTCTTGATCGGGAGCGCAGAGCTGGCGCGCGAGATCCTCGACAAGCGTTCCGCCAATACCTCAGACCGACCGGTGAATCCAGTGATAGGACTGTAAGTACTGCGGAACACTTAGCTTCAAGCTGCCAGCAATGAGCGTGATGTGCTCAACTAACCTTCCGGTGTACACAGCTCAGGGCAGGAATCGAACTTCGGCCTCTTCCAATATGGGCCGCGATGGAGGCAGCACCGACGAGAATTCTGGCAGTTCTTCCATCCAGGCGTGGTCTCAAAATACCAACCGATACAACGCGCCGAAGTGCACAAGTTTCTCAGGACGCTCCTCAACTCGTGCCCCGACCCGACGGACCGTATTGGACAGTAAGCCGCAGCGAGCTTTGGCGCCTTTAACGCTGTCATTTGACAGAAGATGTCAACAGCATGTCCGCGAGTGCGATTCTCAAGGTGGTCTACGGTGTCGATATCGTGGACGAGAACGATGAGCGCATCGCAATCCCTCGCGCTGCCTTGGAGACTACCAGAAGATCTACACCTGGAGCCTTTGCGGTGGAGGTGTTCCCGATCTTGCGACACATGCCCTCCTGGTTCCCCGGTGCGGGGTTCCAAAAAGTCTTCGCCGAATGCAAGGTGGCGAACGAATATCTGAAGCACGTTCTTTTCGACGAGGCCAAGGAGGCGCTGGTAAGCATAGACTTCCGTTTTCTAGGGAGAAAGGTGGCCGGTGATGCTCTGAACGGTCACCGATGAAGGAGCGGGGCGAATCGCGCCCATGTGTCATCGCTGATATGTTCGCAAGGGCGAAAGCGAACGGCGCCGGGTCGAACGAACTTTCCGACGAGACGGAAGACATGTTGAAGAACGTATGCGCAACGGCTGCGGAAGGTTCGTCGTCTGGTGTCCGATGTGGTTGCATCCCAGCCTGCATGCTCATGCCAGTGCTATCACGCAGGCGGTGCCGACACGGTGGGCACGCTTCAAACTGCTTCTTCGCGTCACGCATCCTTACCTGAGCCCGTGCGGCTTCTCACCAGGTTTTTTCGACGCTGCAAGCCGTCTTCGTCGCAATGACGCTCTACCCCGACGTCCAGCGCAAGGCACAGGACGCGCTCGACGCCGTCGTCGGGCCCGACCGCCTCCCAGACTTTGGCGACAGCGACGCACTCCCGTACATCCATGCGATCGTGAAGGAGGCGCTGCGCTGGAGCGTCGTCGTGCCGCTCGGCCTCTTGCACCGCACGCTGCGCGACGAGGTGTTCCGCGGGTGCTTCGTCCCCGCGGGCACGACCGTGGCCGCGAACACGTGGTGCGTTCGTCTGTTCTTTCCTACGACGGTCGGCGTAGCTCACGGCACCCGGATGTGCACAGGGCGATGCTGCACGACCCCGCTACGTACGAAGACCCGGACGAGTTCCGCCCGGAGCGCTTTCTGCGCGATGGCGACATACCACTAGACTCGACTGCTGTTGCCTTCGGCTCAGATTCGATTGCCTTCGGGTTCGGGAGGAGGCAAGCAACCGCCATCACTGTCTTTCCCCAGCAGTAGTCCCAAGCACTGACTCCGCGTCGTCGACAGGATCTGCCCCGGGCGGTACTTCGCGCTCGACTCGCTGTTCATCACCGTCGCGTCCGTGCTGCACGTGTTCGACATCAGCCCGCCCCTCGACGCGGACGGCGCGCCGATCCCGGTCAGGTTCGAGCAGACGCACGGCATCATATCGTCAGTGCACCCGCATTTTTACGGCTGGGTTCGGGGGGCGGCGTTTGCTGACTGTGGGTCATGCGCAGGTACCCCGAGGACTGTCGGTGCACCGTCACACCGCGCTCGAAGGCGGCGGAGGCGCTGATATTGGCCGCCCAGCAGTAGTAGCTCGAGGGTGCGGGTGCGGCTCGCGAAGTGCACGGGAGAGAAAGTGTGGTGGTATGTTACAGACACGGTACAACCAAAGTACGAGATATGTGCACGACGCGGACTAGTGTGTGGGGGTGGTACGAGTCCGTATAACGAATGCAAATGCGAGAGAGCAACAGACAGGAAAGCGAACGGATGACTGTACATTTTAGCGGGGCTCATTCCTCCTCGATGTCGCGTGGTTTGCTGTATTCATGTCCGTGAGCTGCTGTGATAGGGAAGAAGCGACAGAGCGTACCTCGGACCCCCGAACGCAGCGACGCTCGCCGACTCCGCCTTCTCCTTCTCGCCGATCTGCACGCACGCCAGCGTCAGCATCCTGCCCAGGTTCAAGAGGAGCCACTCACGTCCACGTCGCCATACGACGCGCCCTCCGCGTCGCCGCGCGCGGCGTCCACGAGGTCGAGCTCGATGCCCATGCCGAGCGCCTCGCCGCCGCCCTTGCTCTCCGTCGGCACGTTGAAGTGCACGCTGAGCGACGTGTCGAGCTGGCCGGCGCTGCCGCCCGAGCGCGTCGTGATCGTGCCCGAGCGCCCGTCCGAGTCGTGCGCGTGCGCGTTCAGGCTCGATTCTTCGGGCACGCCGCGCCCGCGGTGCGTGTTGCGGAAGTTCAACCTGGGGGTGGGGGGTGGGCGTTAGTAGGGTAGGAAGGGGGGGATGGGGAAGGGAGAGGAGGGAGGGGGCGTACATGGATAGAATGCTGTTGATGTAGACTGTGGGGGTGTGGTGTGAGCAAGGACGCGTGGTGGGAGGACCGGAGACGTACCTTTGCTGCCGACCCAGTGGAAGAGGATCCATATTTGCTGGTTGGGCATCGTGACGATCTGGCGGTTCATTATCAGGCACACGTGGTTAAGCATAGCAAAGCGTCTTAGCTTACAGTAATGAGAGATACTGTCTGCACAATGCTGTATGAACCGACGCGGTCAGCATTGTCTGAAGGGTAATCGAGGGGGAGAAAACGTACGCAAAGCTCGTGCCGCGGTTGACGCCGTAGACGACAATCTGCTCGTACCATCCATCGGGTCTGTCCGGGGCGCAGTGCAAGTTTAGCCAGGAGACCTCGTTCAGGGTCGCCGTCTCGACTCACGTAGCCATGCCGGGGTTGGTGGACGGGCGTAGATACCAAAGCATTGATGTGGCGATGAGGATATTTGCGCCGACCGAGAGACCCCAGCAGATCGCCTTGGTGAGCTGTAAGAACAAATTTATTCAGCCATCATATTACGACCGTTCGCGTTTTGTGGTGGCTCGCCTTGACACTCTTGGAGACCACTTGGTAAAACAGCATTTGATCTGTCCTATATACGTATTTGATGAGCAAAAGCAGAGGCACACCACGGTGGGCGAACGAACATTTTAGCAACGCTCGCTACGGAAGGGGTTTTGTTAGTATTATGTAGGCTATTCGACTACTCAAAACTCACCCAGGTTGAATGCTATATGGTACACGACAACTTGTAAGCAAACATGATATGTTGGGCTATTACTGTACCTCCAGGACCAAAGCGGCGGGTCACAGGTCACAGCGACCTCCGCCGCGCCGCTTTAGGGGGTGTGTCCCGCATCACAGTCGCCCCCGCCGCTTCAGCGGCGGCGAGCCGACGCCGGTCACACTCCAAAAAGGCGTTTTTGGCGGCCCTGCGGGGCCCCGCGCCGCTTTGCCTACCGGGCGGTCACAGGCACCGCCGGTCGCGCCGCTTTGGACGGTCGTGTCCGGCCGGTCACACCCCAAACCCCCCGCCGCTTGGGTCCTGGAGGTACAGTACAGTTTCGGCCAAGAGCTCACCGAAAGCTGCGAGTGCAAGAGTGACCTGTGATGTTGTCGGAATTAGGTCGTGGTATAAGGTCGATGACCAGCAAGACGTACGATCACAGCAGGAATCATGGAGCGCTTTCCGCTGACTGAATAGTGGGTGAGTATATGCTGGTATGAAGGGAGGTAGTCGGCCAACCTGTCCATATACGGAAAGCATAGAAACTACATGATGATGAGAGCGCTGAGTGATAGTGTTGAGAGATGCACATACCACTGCACAACCAATGCCAAAAAGACCTGCGATGCCATGTGAGCGATGTTCCCTCTAAAGCTACGATGGACTTACTGAGAGCGCTTCTTCTGACTGAACAGGTCATAACATGAAGGTTAGAAACTGGACGAGACCGTGTGCGATGCTAGAGGACTGACAATGAATGTTCTGCGCAGAGAACTGTAAGCATATATCGGCCCTCTACGACATAACACACGTGCTTTGTTGTGGTGAGTAGCGGAAATGCTAGCATGAAGTCGGTGATCAGGTAGCAGTATATTCTGAGCGAGTGTGAGTCGTTGAACCATGTGAACTTGAAGAGTGCGTACGTGTGTGATACTATGATGTATTAGAAAACAGCATTTAAAAATTCGGATTAGAAGACACTCACTGAGAGTTGTGATTGCTGTGTCTAGTGCCCTATGACCGCATACTCGTTCAGCCCCACACGAGCGCCTGGAATGATACTGTACCTCCAGGACCAAAGCGGCGGAGGGTTTGGGGTGTGACCGGCCGGACACGACCGTCCAAAGCGGCGCGACCGGCGGTGCCTGTGACCGCCCGGTAGGCAAAGCGGCGCGGGGCCCCGCAGGGCCGCCAAAAACGCCTTTTTGGAGTGTGACCGGCGTCGGTTCGCCGCCGCTGAAGCGGCGGGGGCGACTGTGACGCGGGACACACCCCCTAAAGCGGCGCGGCGGAGGTCGCTGTGACCTGTGGCCCGCCGCTTTGGTCCTGGAGGTACAGTAGTCGGAGACCGTACCATAGTAGACCGACCTAACAGACAGCGGAGGTCAATACAGAGGGCTTAACACATGTGGCCATCAAGTGATGCTCACGGTGTATTTTATTCCTCGCTCGTCATGAGGGAAGCGCGTGTAGTAGATGTATGTTTCTATGTGGCGCCAAGGTCATCCGAGCTCATGCCGGGGTGATTGTATGCACTCACGAAAGAAGGTGAGCCCGTATAATGTCACGGTGAATATGAAGCCGATCAAGAGTACGCCAAACGTCTCCGTGAGCTCGTGCGTGGTGGCAATCGCCTCCGTTGTGGTGGTGGCTGAGTTGGTTGAACTCATCGTGGGGGACGAGGAACGGAGGGCGTCGTGTTATGACGGGAGCTGGTGGTAGGGAGGCAAAGGGAGAGGCATTCCCCAGTCGCTTTGGGAGGTTGGAGGGCGGAAGGCGGGTGTGTGAACTGGGCGAGGGTCACCATGGCCCGCCGTCCGACATCCAACCCTGCCCGTGGACGCCGACTGCTCGATCCGGCCATCCGCAAAGTGCTCCCGCGCAGCCCTAACCCTAGTCTCAGTCCTCGCGTAGCTCACACTAGTCCCGATTAGGCAGCGCTCCCTTCCGCCGCCGATCAATATTGCCCTTCGGATACTGACCGCCACCATCCCCGGCTCCGACATGCCTGCGCCCGTCTCCACCCCTGCCCTCTTCCCGCCGCACTCCCCTGATGCTCTCCTTGCGTTCCAATTCTCGTCTTGGTATCCTCGCTTCGCAGATCACAGCATAAAATCCACCATAGTCCGACCACTCTCAGCGGCTTTCTGCGAGTATTTGAATTCGGACGGCGTATTTGTCCCAGAAGGCGCGGAAGACCTGTCAGTATGTCGCGGATGTCTCTCTCGGCAATACGATTGACACCGACTCGCTACCCGGCGTAGTCCCGCCGAAAGCACCCTGTCCGATGACGAGGATGCCAGCGACGCGGAGGATGAAGACGATGAGTTCGTAAAGTTTGCGTTCCCAGAGCTGGACGCGAAGATCCGCGCAGCCGTGGCGGAATATGGCGCGGTGTTCCCCAAGCTCAACTTCTCGTCTCCAAGGGTGAGTACAGCGCGTTGCTGTCTCTTTTATCGTGTTCCATGCATGGTTGCGGACCTTTGACAGCCGTGCTAAATCGATACCGGTGCTGCGCGGAAACGTTACGTTTTCGTACGCACTAAGGGGCGGCCGCCAGAAAAAGGCTCCGTACTACTGGGTCTCAGCAAATGCCCTGAGGACCGCATAATTCGCGGGAAAGACATTCCAATATTCCGCATAGTCGGCGGGAAACGGAGGTGGTACACCTACTCACCCGCAACCAAAATCTCCTGGGTCCGCACGCCCTTACGGGTGCGGCCTGGCGAGTATGGGCAGAGCTGAGAAGAGGACCGCCCTTCGTGCCCAGACCTATACTTTAACTACGGGTGCACCATACTCTTACAGGTCCCCATAATCGCCGTAACGAGTGCTAATGCAACTCACAGGACGCGGCCTGGATCCTGCCCGCCTCTTCCCCTCTGAAGTGCACGACGCCCGCTGACGTGTACCTGCTTCTAAAATCCTCCGATTTCGTCCAACTTGACCTCACCCCGGAGCTCGTTTTCGCCGACTGCGAGCCCGCACGCGCGGCCGCAGATGATGCCTCCAGCCCATACGAGCTCGAGCTCGTCCTCCGCAAATGGTACCCCGTCGACCGCGCGAGGGAGCTCCGGTGCTTCGTGCGACAGGAGACCCTGATTGGTGCGTCCATCCGCCGCGCGCAGCACATCGTACGCAGCGCCAGGACCTGATATATGTGCGTTTCCCAGGCATCTCCCAGCGTGACCCCAACTACTACGACTTCTGGAACGAGCACGAGACGCAGGAGAAGGTCGCGGCGGCGGTCGCCGACTTCTGGGAGACGCACATCAAGGGCAAGTGGGAGCAGACCCAGGGCGACTGTACGTCCCAATCCGTCCATTGTGTTCCAACGTCGCTCACGAACCCATCACTTCTGCATATCGGCCGCACATTCATTCGCCTATCAACCGTCGGTCCCGAACATACCCCGCACGCCTCCGCCTCCGCCGACACGTACAGACACCTTCGACTTCCTGCTCACGCGTGATCTCTCGCGCGGGCACATCGTCGACTTCAACCCGTACCTCCCGCGCACGGACCCGCTGCTGTTCACGTACGAGGAGCTGCACGCGATTCTGCTCGCGCGCGAGGGGCTCGAGCTGCGCGTCGTGGACTCCCCAGCGCACCCCGCGGCGGCGCGCAATGCACCCGCGCATCAGCCCAATATGGTGCCGATTGAGGCGCTGACGATGAGCAGCGGGCGGGATGTCGGCGAGTTTGCGGATGCGTTGCAGGAGGAGATCCGGAAGAGCATGGCTGGGGAGGAGGTTGGCGAAGACGCGCGCGCGCCTTCTCCGACATGAAACTTAAAGAGCAACATGTACATATGCGATTGTCTGTATTGTTACATACAACTTATATCGAACATGTATCGAACATCACATAACACAACGCGTATCCCACACCACTCAGCAGATCTTCACGCGTGCAACAGTCGGGTCATGGTCGCTCGCGCGCGCGGCGAGCGTCGGTGCCCAGTTGTTCACGTGCACGTGCTCGACCGCGAGGTCGCCCCGCGCGACGATCGCGTCCGAGATAAAGAGGTGGTCGAGCTGCTGGCTGTTCTGGTCGAAGAGGTACGTGTAGCGCTCCGCGAGGGGGACGTCGACGGCGACGTCGAACTCGGTGAGCAGCCCGTCGAAGGGCGCGAACACGGCGCGCGTCTGCACGTATTCGTTGCAGTCCCCGCCGACGATGATGTTCGCGTTCGGGTCCAGCGCGAGCAGCGCCTTGACGAACGTCTGCGCGTGTGCGGTCAGTTTCACGACTGGGGAGAGAAGACGCGATGATGAGGGGGACGCACTGCGACGGTCTGGACTTGGCTGATGCGCTGGTCGACGCCGCCGTTGACGGGTGGACGCGCGTTGCCCTGGGTGGTGGTCCCGCCGAGCTTCGCGGTGAGGTGCAGGTTGATGGTGAAGAGGCGCGCGCCGTTGGTCGTCTCCCACAGCGTGACGAGCGGCTTGCGACTGGAGTCCCACGCGGAGTTCGTCGGGTCGATGCGTCCGGGGTTGAAACTGTGCGGGCACATCAGTCAGCTCGCGCGGATGAAGAGAGGACGGGGGCGTACGTGAGGGTGACATTGCCGTCGGTCCCGAGCACGGGCTTCGTCGCATCCAGAGCGCCGCCTGCGGGAGCGCCGGGGACGAGGCGGAGCTTCGTCGAGTTGAACAGGTGCGCGGTGCGGATGTTACCGCCCGGCTCGCCGCCGTCCTTGTCGTTCTGTGGCGCGATGTCGAGGGTGCCGTACGTTTGGGTGGTGCCTGCCGCACTCGCAACCGAGGCCGCGAGTGTCGCGAGCGTGACGTTCGCGCTCACCGTGCCGTCGTCCGTCGCCCCGTTGTTGTCCTGAATCTCCTGAAGGAACATGAGGTCGGGTGAGTTGAGGAAGTTCGCAATGTGGTTCGCGACTGTAGGCAGGTGGGCGGTCGTCGGCGCCATGTTCTCGACCTGTGGGTGGTTGCGTTAGAATGCGAAATGGCGAACACGAGACGGGGGACATACGTTGTAGTCACCGATGACGAGCGTACAGACTTGTGCGCGGGGCTTGATGGTAGATGGCGGGATGGTAGGGTCGGGCGTAGTGAGCACCGTAGGCGCCGTCAAGGGCAGAATGTAGTAGAATCCGAATCTGTTCAAGTGGGACGCTAAGAAAACGCTCAACGTTAGTCATAGGAAGTAACCTACTGGTAAGCGACAATTCCAGTTATGTCTGAGAACGTCTTGCCAAGAGATACCGCCGGGTTCTTCGTGCCATCCAAAGGGGAGCCTACAATGATGACCTCGGGGTTTGCGTCCGGAATGCCGTCCGACCCCAGGGCTATAAAGTGCGTGAGTTAGCCTGCTTTGTGTCTTTAAGTCCGCTGTCTTACCGAAGCTGATGGTAAGCCCGCCCCTGCTGTTCTTCCCAGTCACAGGCCAGTCTCCGTGGACCCAGAACTCGCCAAAGGAGTTCGCAAAGTCAAGCGCGACCGGCGACGGCACCGTCACAAGCTGCCCCTCCAGACTCGCCCAAAAGTCCATTCCGAACTGGTCAGGGACTAGCGTCGCGTTCACAGTGTCGATACGGCTCTGATTGTTCGGGACGGCGAGCCATCCGTCATTCCCGGGGTCGAGCGCACTCAGCTTGCGCGTTGGGGGGCTGCGATCAGTCCCGAGGAGAACCGGGGTGACGACCTGGTTTGAAGAGAGGACGACGATGTTCGTGGGAGACTGGAGCTCCGTCGCAAAGAGGTTGTCTGGGGAGCCGCTCGAGCGGAACTCGGATACCACCCCGGACAGGGAGATGGAGTCCCCGACGGCGACAGAGGCCAAAATGGTTTTGGAGCTGGTGAAGACGTTCAACCCGTGAGAGACACTATTGCTTCGTACCGCGGGACCTTGAATCCAGAATCCAGAGGTCCCCTGGATCATTGAGCAGCATTAGAGCGCAAACGAAGTAAGCGAGGTTGGACGCACCTTTGCGGTTACGATGCCTGTCAGGTTGTTCACAGTCTGTCCATTCAGGGGAGATATGAACGCCGGGCCCTGGATGTCGGTGATGCTAACGGCTTGCACTGGTAGCGCGATCTGGACCGCGAGTGCGGCTGCTGCATACGCCCACTGCTTCATGGCTGCGGTAGATGGGGCGAATGTGCTGGGGAACTCCCATGGCGCGAAGTCTTTTATGGGACCCAGAAAGCGGGAGCTCGTGTCCTGATGGAACGTGCGTGTCACCGGCGAGAAGATAACTGTAGGTCGACCATATGGACAGCGACGAGAAGAGCTATTGCAGGCCGTCGCTCAAGGTCGGGTGTTCGCACGAGCCGTCAGAGTTTGGGCAGCTTGGAGTGCCTAGCAGTCATCGACCATGTCCGACAAAAAGGGAAATCCGCGCCACCATGGTTGAACGAGCAAAGCAAGACGCATCGGTGATTGGAGAGACACTTCTGCTCGGGGACGACTGCGAGGTAAGAGAGGGAGTCGGGACGATAGCGCGCATGGTGGGAGAGGGAAAGCACGTGGGAGGAGGCCGCGCGGATTGTACGCAGATCTTGATCCCGATCTGGATCGCACGCACGCACACCGCCCTGAACGGCATCCACCGAGCCAAGTTCGAATCGTCCCTTCTCGGACTCCGCGACCTCCTTTCTCCCCGCCACCGTCCTCCCGCGATGCCACTACACCCACAAGCCTACGAGTGCAGATGGTCGCTGTAGATTACAGAGAGTGCGTCTCGTACCCAGGTCCCTGAATCCTTTCACTTACGGTGTGTGCGACAGATACCTAAAACCCAAGAATACGACACCTTCTATCCCCCTATTAACATCAAGATTCAGTTGACTTTGAAGTCGCAGCTATTGCTACCTTCGCCCTCTGTGACATTACACCCTCTACACCTAAACAACCTAGCCAAGCTACCCAGCTCGAATACTTACAGTCCGACGAGTTTGACGTGTGAATCCCCGGATTCACTGCGGAAGCTTTGAGCACATCGACGCGCTCGTTCGCGCACAGACACCCGACATGTCGACGCCACCCATCAATGCGATGCAAGCCCAATCGTCAAGAGGACAAAGGGGAGGCTATAGCCGGGGCGGCGGAAGAGGCCGCGGGAATGGAGGTCTCCGTGCGCCCTTGCAACAATTTCGCTCATGGAAAGGCGGTATACTCTCCGTAACAGACCTTGTCGGTCCTTCATGGTCCGTCCATCCGACTCGGTTGTCAGCTCATTCTGTTCATTCAATTTGGCCCAGGTGCGAGCTTCAGTTCGACTACGCTCTACGTCAGCAACGGCACAGGAAGCTGGCGGATCGTCCTGCATCCTTTGTGACTGCGGAAGGAAAGACCATACACGTCGCCCAGGATCTCGCCTCTCAGAACGATCGCACTGTTGCACGCGGGAAGGTCGGTAGAACTCTCACAGTGCCAGAAAACATTCCTAACTTGGAAGTAGTCTATACACAAAGCCCTAGAACGAGGAGTGCAACCCGACAGCCCCCCTGTGCAAGCGACGACGACGGAGGAGCGCTGGGGTCTAAGGTGCCTTTGAGCTATCGTTCTGTCACACGGATCAACGCCAAACATATGCTATAGATTGATCAACATGCTCGTCGCATTGCAGACTTTGATGAAGGTCGGCTACTGCGTGAGTGACTATACACATTGTCTTGTGGATCTCGCTGAGATTTTGTGCCACAGAGAGAGATGCCGGTGTTTGGTATAGTGCATGATCAAGTGGTCACCGGTATTATAGTACGTGCACCCTGAAGCTGCTGCACTTCCTCCTAATACCCTACCTAGGATGAAATTGTTCGCAAGCCTACGCAACTCGAGACGCAGCCCGATACCAAGAATGTGGCTATTCCCAGCAAACGTGGGGCCCCTTCTCCTCCCTTCGAACATGCGGCGAAGAAAATCAAATACGACGCATCAGAGGACCAGCCCCAAACATCCACATCGCTCTCCCCGGGGTTGCATATCAGTACAGCACCGCCGGCAGCAGGCTCGGAGCCCACGAGATACACCCTCCACCTGTCGGACACGAAGACACGCACAGAGCCGACTTTGCCGCCTGATGAGGACACCCTCTCTTCGCGTTTCCAACTCATGCTCTATCATCGACTTCTCAGCGACCTCATCGCTCCTGCTGCACCTACCGTCCAGGCCCGAGCACCGTTGAGCTTTGTCACGCTGTGGCGCCGCGTTAATGCCAATCCCCAGCGGCGGTTCTCCCAGCGCTTCCTCACGCAGGCCGGCCCACTCATAGCGCAAATTGCCTCACGGGACGCTCCTGCCCAGACTACGGCCGCCGCAAAGGCTGGTACGGCCCGTCTTAGTTGCTTGAATGACCTCACCACGGCGTGGACGCACGCCGTCAAGGCGCTCAACGTGACCGCGATCGACCACACCCTCACGTTGGTGTACCGCAGCCAAATCACACGGAAACGCTCCAAGGTTCAAAGTCAGTCGACGTCAGCGGACACGGAGCCTTCGTCTCAGGAGGCGCAGGGCTCGACGGCACTGGAGGGCCCGTCCAAGCTGTCGGAAGGCTCTGCATCTGCGCCGCTTGCACCGGATGCGCTCGCGCGGGCAATACAGCAGTCGCTCCCGCCTGCAAATGAAGATGCCGCAGCAATGACGAAGGTCGCGGATGGCACCGATGCGCACGCTACTCCAGCCTCCGAGGGGGAGCATCCCAGCGTCCCGAACGACAACTTCGCGGACAAGCAGCCTGGCACTATTGCAACAGAGAAGGAAGAGGGTGTGGAGAGCGGGACGAAGACTGCTCCTGCGTCGCCCGCGCCATCGGACGAGCTCGTCGAAGCTCACGAGACGATGACTGTCGCAGAGCTGGACGTCGAGGCACGGGTGATCGGGACGAAGGCGTTCCAGCTGGACGACGCGCTGCTCGACAGGTACCTTACGCACATCCTCGCGTGGTGGCGCGGGCAGCGGGCGGCCGAGGGCGTCAGCGGGGAGCTCACCCGGCGTTGCACGTAAGTCGCGTCCCTAAATGACCGTAAATGACTGCTGATGGAACGGGCTCGGGACATGCGAGTATAGCCGGGGCTGCGAGTGGAGAGAGAAACAGGCGCAGGAGGCGGAGAAGTGTCGTGCGAGCGGTGCCCAGGCGGGTGGTGAGCCGAGCACGCCAATCGGGCTGTGACTACTCAAAACAGCCCCGGTATCATGAACCAGCTTGGTTGTTCCGCATCAATGTACGTTTATATTTGCTTTGCTTACTTTATCGGTGGGTACTCCAACCCGGCAAAGGACAGTGCTCAGCCAGATCCGACCAGAAATATCGTACATATCGTACATAGTGTATCTGTTATTTGTACTGTATATGTCACATATGATGTTTTCGCAAATATGGACGTTTTCTGCGGTCAGTCTCGGGTCAGTCCATGCACTGCTTCCTGCCCATTGTAATTCAGCGTTCGGTCACAAATTTAAACGGCCCTTGAAGGTAGAGAGAAACAGCGGCTAATTACCTGAAATAGTAAAGATCCCGTCAAAAAGACAGGTATCGTCGAGCCATTTTTGACCACATGTACTTTTCGCGGAACCGATCGCGAACGAAGTTCGTCTTGCCTCTCCTCCTCTTTCGCCATTGCCCTGAGGGATGCTACTTTCTGCGCATCTCTGTTAGAGCACATAGTCGTAAAGTACAGAGTGTACGTCAATGCTCATCTTCACATTCTCGCCTACTTACCTTGCGCGCGACAGATGCCTGACACAGATGAATACGACGCATTCTACTCCCCTATCGACCACCAGGACTTAGTAGACATCGAAGTTGCAGCAATATCCGCTCACACCCTTCGTGAAACCACTCCCTCAACTCCTACGCCTCAATCGAGCCAAGAGTCACAGCTCGAGCAGTCTTTGCCTGACGAGTTCGACTCGTATGACTTTTCCGAATTCACAGCGGAAGACTTTGAGCACATCGACGCGCTTGTTCGCGAACATACACCCGACATATCACCCCCGCCCGTTACTCCGGTACAGGCTCAGCAACCGAGAGAGCCAAGAAGAAGCAATAGCCGCGGCAGTGGAAGAGCCGGCCGAAACGGAGGTCCTCGTGTTGAAATTGGCATTGAGGAGCCCAACAGCGCTAATACTCGCCGCCTGTTCAAGGGATCGAGTCGGCGTGCACCTTTCCAGGAATTCCGCAAGTGGAATGGCGGCATATTGTCTGTAACAGACCTTGTCGGCCCCTCGTGGTCCGTCCGTCCCAGCAAGGTCATCAGTGCACTTTGTTTATGCATTCTGGTCCAGGTGTGAGGTTCAGTTCGACTACGGCCTACGCCAGAAGCGGTACAAGAAGCTTGAAGATCGTCCCACCTCTTTTGTGACTGCAGAAGGAAAGACCATAAGCGTCGTTCAGAATGTGGCAGCCCAGAACGATCGCACTGTATCACGCGGAAAGGTCGGTCAGACTCTTATAGCGTCAGTAAATACTTTCTTAACTTATGATTAGTCTGTGCATAAAGTCTTGGAACGGGAAGTGCAACCCGACGTTGTTGCTGTGCAAGTAACCACACCGGAGGAACGGTGGGGTCTGAGGTACCCTCTAGTGTTTCTGCTAGTATATAGATCAGCGCTCAACTTTAGGCACAGATTGGTCAATATGCTTTCTTCATTACACACCCTTATGACGCATGGGTACTGCGTGAGTGGCTGTCGCTATCGTATGTCATTCTTCCTAACGCATCTGAACCACAGAGAGAAATGCCGGTCTTTGGTGTAGTGCAGGACCAGGTCGTCACCGGGATTATAGTATGCACGCCCTCACGTAACCGCGCTTCTTTCTAACAGCCTGCCACAGGACGAGATTGCACGTAAACCAATGCCACTCACAACGCAAGAAACCCACAACCAGGGGGTAGGAACGAGTAGTCCTAATAAACGCGGGCCTCCCTCTACTCCCTCCAAACATGCAACAAAGAGGTCGAAGCACGATGCAGTCCAAGACCAGGCCCAAATAACCAACTTCTTTTCCCCGGGGAAGCGCGCCAGTATACCTCCTCCGGCAACAGAGCCCACAGAGTACTCCCTCCATTTGTCAGACACAAAGACACGCACACGCCCGGCTCTGCCGCCAGACGAAGACACGCTCGCGTCCCGCGTCCAGCTCATGCTCTACCACCGGCTTCTCAGCAACCTTCTCGCCCCCAGCGCACCCTTTGTCCAGGCACCGACACCGCTCGACTTCGCGGCGTTATGGACCCGCGTCGGAGTCGATCCTGCGCGCCGGTTCTCCGATGGCTTCCTTACCCAAGCCGGACTCGCTCCAGAAGCTGTCACACAGGACACTCCTACTGAAGCTACGGATACCGCTACACAGTCTAGTGCGGACAGTCTCAGCTGCCTGAACGACCTCACCGTAGCCTGGGCGCACGCCGTCGAGGCGCTCAACGTGGTCACGGTCCATAACACACTCACGCTCGTGTACCGTAGCCAGCCCACAAGGAAACGCAGCAAGGACAAAGAACGGGCCAAACCAGCACCATCGGGCACGGAGCTCTCGTCGCAAGAAGCACAGGACCTCGCTGCGGCGATTCAGGCTAGCGTGAACGATGTGCAGGGCGTCGCGGGCACGGACGGCGACGACGACCTCGCGCGCGCGATCCTCGAGAGCCTGAAGGACTCGGTGCGCTCTGGGGCGGCGACGGAGGGCGATTTGGGCGTGCTGACGCACCCGTTCGGCCTCCCGATATCCGAGGTGCCCGGGATGACGACGTTGGAGGGGGAGGCGCAGGTGGCAGCAGTGCCGGACGCACTCGAGGACGATCCGGAGCTGGCATGGGCGATTCAACAGTCACTCTTGCCCCGGATCGAGAATGTTGCTGCACTACAGGAGGCCGCCGTAGGCCCAGACGCGTCCGCGGTGGCGGCCGGCGACTCGACGGAGGCCGTTGGAGAGAAGAATAGGAGTGCGCAGGGTAGAGTGAGCGAGAACGTAGGGGGCGGGACGAAGACCGCGCCCGCATCGCCTGCACGCTCGGACGATCTTGTGGAGGCGAACGAGACGATGACGGTCGCCGAGCTGGACGTCGAGGCACGGATCATCGGGACGAAGGCGTTTGAGCTCGACGACACGCTGCTCGACGGATATCTCGCGCGCGTCCTCGCTTGGTGGTACGGGCGACGGGCACCCGAGGGCGTAAGCGTGGAGCTCACCAGGCGTTGCATGTGAGTCGCTTTTTAGATCGTTCGTTCGTAATTGCTGATGGGACACGCGCAGGACATGCGAGTATAGGGAGGGCTGCGAGTGGAGGGAGAAGAAGGCGCAGGAGGCGGCGGAGAGGTATCGTGCCAGCAATTCGCAATCCGGTAGGTGAACCGAGCGCGCTAGTCGTCGTGAAAGTAGTCACTCTATCTTGATATTATGGACAAGTTTGGTTCGCAAAGTCTGATAATACTCTGATACACGTCTCAGGTTTTCGTTGTGCCATGGTCGTGTGCCCCCGTTGCATGCTTGATTCTTTGAAAGCCACTAGTTCCCAATATTGTACGGCACATACTAGTGAGGAGGTTCGCTGTACTACTAGTATGTACCAAGGTTCGAAGCCAACAAACTTTGTAAGTCCTAGATATCCGAGCCCGCATTAGTGTGACCCCTTGGAGTTCTATTCTTCGTATTTAGAATTGTGGCCTCTCTAACTTGAAGCATGTCACAGTGCATCATCAGCCGAAACCATGCCAGGCGAGTCCTCGGAGGATACCGGGAAGACGTGGGGTGCATCCTGTACGCCGTTGACTACATGTGTGAACTCGTGCCATTGAGTTCCCGGGCCTTCATCCGATGTGTCATCCCTAGCGATGTCGCCGGAAAGAGTGTCGCCTCCTGACATTGGGGATTGATCATCCTGGGGGCGGTTCCTGGGTACGCGCGCCGCGCTCGGTGTTCCGTTCACTACTTGTATGAACTCGTAGGATTGTTCCTGTGCGTTTACAACAAGGGCAGCTGTGTGTTTGACTGTTGCTGACCGGCGACTACGTCCAAACTCGCCGGGGGCGAATAATCCCAGGCCAGATTTGGGGCCGTTGACTCTATCCCCCTGCTCACGGTCCGGACGCGCCGCCAGCCAGTCATCGAGTTGTGGAGGGTTTCCCGTACCCATAGAATCGTCAGGTTGCGGGAAAGGTAATGGTAGACCCTTGATGACTGTCAACATACACTCCAACAGTAGAACAAAAAACTAAGAGCACGCACCGCTTGTAAGGAACTTTGGTATGCATCAGGACTCGGAGGCTTATGCGTATTGGCGTACGCGCCGCCCAGCCTGATGTCGAAGCAGTAGGACTTTGTAGCTAGCCAGTGAGTCGCTGTCAGCTGAACTACTTTGTTGCCGCCAAAGAACGATCGGGACCCGTTGGGCCAGGTATTGATGTGCTCGTGCGCGGGCCCAGAAGCATTGCAGTAATTGGGCCGCGGCTCGCGCCGGCGTAGTGGAGTGCCTCCGAAAGGGCGGAGAATGGTAGTGAACTCGACCTCGGCGAAGAGTTTCCCTCCGCATTGGTCGAAATGGATCCTGAACTCCGTTTGTGCGGGGTGATCCTGATGACCAACGCAGAGGGTGAGGGGGACTTCGCTGGCGGCACCCGCGCAGTACCTTGACCTGCCCTCTAGTACTAAGTTATACCGTGCTAGATATTCAGGGGTCCAGGATGATATGAAGACCTCCTTCGGCTCCTGATGAAGCTCCCGTCGGCGGTGCGACACGGTGAACGTATGAATGTTGTCGATATAAATGGTTTTTATGGTCGCAACCAGCGTTCTCTGGGGAAGGGTAGTGAGCGACGAAGGGGAGGCGACGGAGGGATCCGCCTCGACATCGCCGCGCACGTCGCCCTCGGCTGGTAGAGACATCCATCCACGTCGACGAAGGGCGGCGAACGTTTCTCGAGACATCTGGAAGTGACGATACCCCTCCGAGACACCAGGAAACGAGAGTCCCACTCGGAAGGTGCGCACAGGAGAGCGATTGTCTCGTTGAGGCCAGAGAGGTAAGGCGAGACAGTTATCTGCGTTGTCCTTGCACAACAGTAGCGCAAGCGAAAACGGAGTGCCTTCAATGATGAAGAAGTTGCAGCGGACACCAGAGCTAGTGACCGCCTGTTCATAGACGACCTAGGGTCACAATCAGTACGACGAAGATGAGGGGATAAAGCTTTACTCACGGCGGTTGGTTCTAAGCCGGCTTGGACCTCCACAAACTCCCGGACCTTCGAGAGTGCAGAGTCGTCTTGGGTGATGGGAATCACGCCGCCCGTGGTGCCATACCAGCGGAAGTCGAAGGGACACGATGCGAAGATAGATTTACTTTGCTCGAACGAAGGGGGAGTAAAGGGAGGGTAGATACTCTGAGCACAGGATGGAGAGGGTACCCGCTTCGTGAGAGAACTCCCGGTGCGCGAAGTCCCTGTGTGGATTCCTCGATATCCCACGCCGGATGCCGAACTTCGTAGAGGCTCGGTTTCTTTAGTAACGTCTGGCACCCATGTCCGGCCCCACGCGAAGAGGGTATGATCTGCGTGGCGCTTCATGACCTTCGCTTGTAGTCGTTGGAAGGCGTAACTCCCTTCCCCGTAGATCGTGGACATTGAGACTTCAAATATGCCTAGAAGACTGTAAGCCTGATCCTCTATCCTCTTGGTCTGGCGATTCGCGGCCCATGACATCCTGGTGGCGACAGGGACATGTTGGAGATGGCGGCGGAACGTAAGGACACCTGCGTCGATTCCTGTAATCTCTTGAATCACGTCCGCTAGCATGGCTCTGGTGCCTAGGTAGTTCCACTCCTCCGAGAGAAAGACAAGGTAGCGCGGGGCGAGGAGTTCTTGCAGCGTCCAGCCCCTCTTGAACCAAACGCTGTTGCGGAAAGACCGAGAGACCGGCCCCGGCTCGCCTGGGAAACAGTCATCCGGAACGTCCTTGAGGTATGCCAAGCACACCGCCGCCTCTGTGTACCACTGGAACATTGAGTTGATCGCTTCTTCAAGCTCTGCGCTGCTGCGCTTGTCGATGCAGCAAGTGTCGTCCCAAACCCAGGCAAAACCCTGCTCTTTCGCCACTTTCACGCACTCCCGTACTTTCTTGGACACTCGGTGGTCTCCGTATGAGGTGACGCCGTGGATAAGCTGTAGCTGCTGAATCTCCATGAAGGATTGCTCTGTGTCGTCCCAGACGTGTGAGAGGATCGCGTAGCCTGGCTTGTATCTACTACCGGCGCCCGTGCTATTTATGCGGCGCGTCGAGTCAGCACTCCTGGACATCCACCTGTATCTGAAGGGCGCACGCACTGGTGGGCTCGGGCAACTTCTTCGGGGCCATTGAAGCATCTCAACTCGAGGCGTTCAGTGGAGAGCAGCCACATAACTACCGAGTATTGTATATATTAGTTCAAGGCTTTCGATTCGGAGGAAGTAGACGTTGATGGTCAAGAGACTTACCGCGCTGACGAAGAGGTCGTAGAGGCAGCACCTGCGTAGAGGATTGGAACGTGCTGGGTGTTCGGGGTTAGCTGCACGCTAGCCTACTTGTATCCAAAGACCATGAGGCCAAGGCCAGGTAACTGCGCATGCCGCGGATCCTCTGTGAGGAGGCTCTGATTGATAATATTCCTTAAGAGGTCAGCACCCGAGCACTACGACCTACGTATCAAGAAAGGGATATGCAGTCCTCTGATATTCGCCTATCTGCGCGCCGATCAACGTGAATACGGCGCGCGGAAGCTGCCGTCCGTAGGTCCGAGCTTTCAAAAGCGGTCGGGGGACGGCCCTCGGCGGACACATATACATAGCAATGCGTACAGCCTTGCAAAAGATTCCCCGTAGAGCCTAGGGTAGCGAGCTTAGGAGGAGAAACATGGCGTGGAAGATGGAGGACCTGGATAGTATGACAGTGATTGGATGCTGGCAGTGTTTGTCACGGAACGGACAGCGTGCTGGCACGTGCATATGCACCGCTTCTGAGTCTACACCGCGGGCATATCCACATGTTTCCTGATAAATCATTTCGATAACACGGTAATGACTGAAAAAATGCCACCACGTTGTTTCACCATGCGCCATGCTTCGAACATACAAAGAACATTGTGTGATGTGTGGAACATTGTGAATACATGCTTGGGACATTGAAAATACCCCCATGTTTTCACGATAGTACTGCTATCACTTCGCCGACGATCCGTCGGGTCTCGAAGCCAACACGATAGGTGATACGAAGGCCAGGTTTGGATCCAAAAAAACTTGCCTGCGTTGATTCAGGGGCATCATCGATCATCGATGATGTCCGAGGCGCAGAGACCTGCTGACGGACATAGCCTCGTTCCCTCCAATGATTCCAGGGCGAGGCATTCACATCTCCACTGACATTATTGACACATCCGAGTCACCAGCAGTAAGTTTGGGCCAATTTCGGGCTCTAATCCGGAGCGCCCTATTGAAACCCCAGTACTCAGCACTCAGTTGCTGAAAGGATATGAGTAGACGGTACTTGATACCGCCTGCAGGTATGTGCTCGCAGGGGGGGACATGCCAAGATGGGAGGGGGCCATGAGAGTCGGAGCCACGCCCACGGCCGGTCAGAGTGCCTACCACTCATGAATAGCCCGATTGCCACCGTGAGTCCGTGATAAGCTGGCGAATTGCCACAATTAATGCACCGTGTTTCGACAACTGCCGTAGCTCGCGTCAAACATGTGTTTACCGTCCACCGATCTACGGCCCAAACTTTGAGTTCAGACGTATGTACTACGGACCTCTTCTGTAACGCGCAGCGGCGCGAGACGGACGAGACGAGGCGCGCGGCGGTCGCTCAGAGGGCCAAGATCTAGGATTAAGCGTAAGGGCTGCGTAGTACTGGCGTTGCGAAGACAAGGAGCGCGTCGGGGACGCGCCGCGCGCGACGGACGTGTACAGTACGATTATGTAAGCAAAGTAATGGCGCGCGAAGCGCCCATTACATCTTCCATTCAAATCTAACTACTATATCACTAGGCTAGGGGTAGGCTAGGGGCTGGGCTAGTACTCAAATTGAACGTCCTTGCACCCACGTCACCGTCGACTTCAAACCAAGTCACGGTGCATGCCTTCTATGAGAACAACAAATGAGTTACTGCGATAAGATAGTGTACTTGGCATGCAGACTGTCCTTGCCGCACTAGTACTGGCAGTTCCAAATGTCGCACAGTGCGAGAAACTTCCAGACCACCCGGTATACCACCACATGTATCGCGCGCATACAGCGCGACGATGAGTTCACCTGTAGGGCCAACCGTGCGCAGCCTCGCGTTTGATCGTGTTGAAGGTGGGAGAAAAGGGGAGAAACGAGAGGGAGGGATGCGGAAAGTAGGACGATGGAGATTGGAGATCAACTTGATGACGCCGCCGAGTCGTAAAGTCGAAGACGATCTCGAGTCACGATCGAGAAAGCTTGCACTGACGAGACCGCAGATATGGCTGGATCCATGTCGAGATCGGCCTTGGCGCTCAACGTTTACTTTCTGACCCCGGCGACGTTGTTCGGCAAGCTAGGTCGAAGCCCGCAAAATCCGCGCAGGGACTCCTCACGATGTCGCACTGTGTGCTAGTGGCGCTCGGCGACCTGGACCATGTATAGATTGAGCAGTAACTGGTGCCAGTGGTGGGACTGGAAAACACAAAGGCGTTAGATATGGATATGATTGGTATTCAAATATTCAGAGGCTAACGGTTTGGGGCATCGCTATTTATGTGGTGAGGGGCTCGTTCAGACGAGTCATTCCGGTACGCTGGTACTCCTTCTCGAAACGACCGGAAAGAGGATAAGTTGTGGATAGGTAGTCGGGCTACACCACTACCATGGTAGGGCGCACTCGGCCGAGCCTCGGAACCATGGTAGGAACCCCTGCAGCCGATCTGTTCACGACGAACTCGCCGAGGGCGGCCTGCGCTGATGCAATGGCATCTGCGGTGGACACTAGTAAAGATTGAGGTTAGTAGCGAAAGCACCGCGACACGATAAGCCTCACCAGGAGCACGTGTAGGACGGGTAGGAGGGTGCGGAGCTGACCACGCTCGTCCGAAAGCAGGCGAGGCCGAGCGATGCCCATGGTATGGGGGGTGAAAGTGGGGTGAGGATCGGGCAGACACTGCGTGGATGCGGCGTCGCTTATGTACGGTGGGAGCCCGCCGGAGCTCGAATAGAAGGTCGCCGTCGTCGTTAAATACGGGGCTCGCGAGCGAGTACGGAATTGCGAGCGGATAGCAGTACTGCCATGGGCCCTCGAACGCGCGGATCTCTTGCACGAGCTCGTCGAGGTCAACCTTGTCTGGGAACGCCTCGCGCAACATGTCCATTGGGCTCCGGAACCGCGCCGCGTTGTCAGGAGTGAGACCCTTTGCGAACACCGGGTCGTGCGAGCCGAATGTGTTGACCTTGATTCCGCTGCCGATGGTCTGAACGGTGACGTTTGTGGACCAGCTCACCGAGGAGCTCGCGCTGTCAGGCAGATTAGAATCAGGGTGTAGAGATACGCCGGACTAAAGACGTACGTCTGGGACTCGGACTTCCCAACCTGGAGGGTCAGGCTGAGTTCGACTTTGCCGCTGATCTTGATATGAAGGGCGCCTTGTTTGACGGCAGTCGGAAGCTCGACGTAGTTCCGGGTGACGCCTTGGAACGGGTCAATCAGAGCTATGCAAGGTCTCTTAATGGGAGACTTACAAGAGATGCCCTGAGTAGAGCTCATGAGGTTGCTGTTCCCGCGCAGCTTGTAACGCCACTCCTCGCAGTGCTCCCACAGGTACTTCAAGCAACCATCCCCGTCGGACGGTAGGAGCTCCCACTTCGAGGGGCGGTCCCTGCGCTGCTCGTGCTCGGACCATTTCTGGAGACCCAGCCCGTGGAAGCCCTGGGAGGGGTCGAGGAGTACGGGGATCATCGTCGTATACGCGTTTACGTTCGAAAGCAGGGTGAGGAGGCGCTCTTCAATGAACACGCGGCGTGCGATACCGATCGTGCCATGGGAGAATTCGCCGTTCGCGTGCACAATCCATTCCGTCGAAAACTCGAGCTCCGGCGAGGGCAGCGGACGTCCACCCGTCGTGCCTAGCACAACGATGATCGGCTCCTGCCCGGGGATGACTTGCGTCCAGTTGTGGCGGGTAATTTCGACCTTCGAGTAGACGTGGAAGGTGACGTCTGTGAGTGCATACGAGGGCAAGGATCGGTGCCCCTCTGTCCAGACGGGGATACTTGTGATGACGTTCATGCCTTCCTTGCACAATGCGGGGAAGTAGTGCTGCGTAAGATAGAAGACGACCGCTTGCAGCTTGAAAAAGAGTGAGCAGCCGTCTTCTCCCATGTTCTTGATGTCGCCAAAGTTGGAATAGTCGTGGACGTATTCCGCATCTGTGCGCAGTGAGCTGGGTCAGTGCATGTGATAGAAATGGCGTGCGAAAAATTCACGTCGGAAGTCGAGATAAATATGCCTGAGCTCGCGATCCGGGCTGTGGCCGTGCCTTTCAAACTGCTGTGAGGAGATGTATGTGGAAGAGGTCGAGCCCTCCAATTCGCTCTGAGAGCACATCTTGATATCGACCTCGAAAGCCACACACCAGTCGCGGAATTCATATTCCTCACTCCTAGGAGAAGAGAGGAAGGAATGTATGAGCGATCTTGCAAACATTGTTGAAGATGAGCAGTCCACTCGCCCATCCCAGAGCGCCCAGTCCTTCAGGGTCTTGAGGTTGCCGTTCGCGAGGTGCACCCACACGAGCGCGCGGTTGTTGCTCAGCAAATGCAGCGAGAACGGCTTGTACGACGCCGAGAAGTAGCTCTCGAACGCCCAGCTGTGGAACGCCCCATATGTCGACGCAGAAAATTGCGCGTTGAGCGAGCCCTGCGAGACCGCTGTGACTTGGTCGAACCCGAACATCTTTGTGCGCTGGATCATCTCGCGCGACGTCACGCCGCGAGAGTCACCGAGCTCAAGCCTCCACCAACTCCCGTCCGAGTCCGCCTGCCAGTTTGAGCGAATCTTGTGGATCTTCTCCCAGAGTGAGTCGTGCGAATACAGGATATGGTGGTGCGTGTCGTGGAGAATCTGGAGATACTCCTCGGAGAAGAATGCGATGATGAGGTCGTAGTAGTCGAGCGTGATGTCGTCAGTCTCGTCGAGGCCGGGGTAGGAGGAGAGGGCCTTGTGATAACGAGCATCTAAGGGTTATATAATATTAGTAGGCGTGCAAAGCTTCGCCGGACAGGCGACACCTACTGCTTAGATCAAATACAATGGTGACCGTGTGACCGGCTGCATCCCTGTTGTAGATGGCGTTGACCACCATCGCGACCTTCCATCCCGAGAAGCGTCGGTCTGGGGCACTATACAAACGATGAGCGTCATGAGATCCATACTATTAGAAGCGTGCGCATATACTCACGCGGAAAAGTCGCCATCCTCGAAGATCTCGAGCTCGTCGATATCGAACCAAATCACAATTTCGCGCTCGCACAGGATCTTCACCATCGGCGCGCCGAGCTGCATGCGGAAATGGATGTCG